ATAAGATGGTGTTAGCAACAGAGAGGCTAGTGACTAGCATGGATAAGATGGTGTTAGCAACAGAGAGGCTAGTGACTAGCATGGATAAGATGGTGTTAGCAACAGAGAGGCTAGTGACTAGCATGGATAAGATGCTGTTAGCATCAGAGAGGCTAGAAACTAGCATGGATAAGATGGTGTTAGCATCAGAGAGGCTAGGAACTAGCGTGGATAAGATGGTGTTAGCATCAGAGAGGCTAGCGACTAGCATGGATAAGATGATGTTAGCTCCTGTCAGCTTCTTCAACATCATCCAACACTCAACGTTCATGTTCTTCTGGTTCTAGTTTCAAGCACCCAGATACTTTTGGTGGATTACAGGAAGCTGTGGCTGCTCGGTACTGAGGGGCTTACGTGGCTCCGGAGTTCATGATGCAGGCAGAGACGGGACATCTGCAGGGTCGCCCGTTGTCGTGGTTCATCCCCAGGTTGTGTCCGAGCTCATGAGCCACGTTGGAGGCGAATGAAGGAACGTTGTTGTCGGTGAACTGAGAGGAGGAGAGCAGAGTTTATGGACTGGTCTGAGGTCCTCTGACCGGTCAAACCTCTGAGGACCGTACCGCGTTGATCCCTCCCCCATGACTTTGAGAGCAGACAGAGGAGACGAAGGCCATGCCCGCTATTACCCCGAAGCTCTTCTTCCTGCATCAACAACAGGGCCTTCATCACTGACAGATCTTCCATCATCATCAGTTTAAATATTTAAACCAACATCATCATCATCGACAACCTCTTCATCATCAGAAAAACAGCATCTAAAATTATCAGGCAGTGTTTTCAGGCAGCATTAAAATCGGAGATTCATGCTGAGTCATAGTTGTGTTTTGGCACCAAGTCATGAATTGATTTTGATCCTGAATTTTGTTGCCACAATACTAACATGTCAAAATGCCTTACAACCATGTTTCAGTGATAATGTGCTGACAGGACTAGCTGTGCTGAGTCATGACTGTGTTTTAGTGCCACCTCCTGGTTCTGTGTTTCACTGCTCAGTCAGGACTGTTTCAGTGCTGAGTCATGGTTGTGTTTCAGTGCAGTCATGGTTGTGTTTCAGTGTGTGTCATGGTTGTGTTTTGTTGCTGAGTCATGGTTGGGTTTCAGTGTAACATCACAGTTGGGTTTTGTTGCTGAGTCATGGTTGGGTTTCAGCTCAGTCATGGTTGTGTTTTATTGCTGAGTCATGATTGGGTTTCAGTGAAGAATCATGGTTGTGTTTTTTTGCTGAGGCATGGGTGGGTTTCAGTGCAATCATGGTTGTGTTTTGTTGCTGAGTCATGGTTGTGTTTCAGTGTAGAGTCTTAGTTGTGTTTTGTTGCTGAGTCATGGTTGTGTTTCACTGTAGAGTCTTAGTTGTGTTTTGTTGCTGAGTCATGACTGTGTTTTAGTGCCAAGTCCTGCTTCTGTGTTTCACTGCTCAGTCAGGACTATTTCAGTACTGAGTCATGGTTGTGTTTGTTGCTGAGTCATGGTTGTGTTTCGTTTGCGTTTCAGTGCTGAGTCATGGTTATGTTTCAGTGCTGAGTCACGGTTCTGTTTCAGTTCTGAGTCATGGTTGTGTTTGTTGCTGAGTCATGGTTGTGTTTCAGTTGTGTTTCAGTGCAGAGTCATGCTTGTGTTTCGGTTGTGTTTCAGTGCTGAGTCATGGTTGTGTTGCAGTGTGCAGGTACTGACAGGATGAGCTGTGCTGAGTCATGCCGGCGGCGGGGAACCAGCTCCTTCTCCCTCCACTGAGTGAAACGACCCAGTACTTCTTCAGGTCCTCCGTCTGTGTTGATCAGGTTTTGCTGAGTCCAAATCTCCAGACCGACCAGAACCACCCTAACGTTCAGCTGCATGTAGATCTGCTCACATGCATCAACACGGACACACAAAGTCTGTAAAGCCTCCATAGAAGTTCAGAGTGGATTTTTCAACATCAACAAAACTGCCTTAAAAACTCTAAATGAGTTAATAAACAGTTTAACTTTATGTAGTCTGTGAAACCAGGCTCATGAAGCTAATTGTAGGTTAAAGTGTGTGTGTGTGTGTGTGTGTGTGTGTGTGTGTGTGTGTGTGTGTGTGTTCTTACACTGTCTACAAGGTTGGCCAGATGAACCATTTCCTCTCTCACTGCTGTCGCATTCTTGTTCATGTAATTATACTGCAAACAGAAAATAAACATTAAGATTAGCCTAGCCTAGCTTAGCACAAACACGGGGACTACACAGTTAGCCTAGCTTAGCACAAAAACTGTGACTACAAAATTAGCCTAGCTTAGCACAAACACTGAGATTACAGTTAGCCTAAAGTAGCACAAACAACGGGACTACACAGTTAGCCTAGCTTAGCACAAACACTGAGACTGCACAGTTAGCCTAGCCTAGTACAAACACAGACTCTGTCTCACTCTGTCGTTGTCGACCACCAGCAGCAGCTCCACGTAGTGAGTTTTATGAAGAACAGCTCTCTTCATCTGAAAACACAAGCACACGTTACTTCACACACACTCTCTCATTATATTATTTATTTTCCTGCTGAGTCATTTATTGACATTTGAGTGATTTGTTGCCACTTTGAGCTGTCAGCGTGTAAACACACCCTGCTGTGAGGTCTGTGGTGAATTTCCTCTCCTTCGTACTGAGCGTGCTCAGTAGCGTTGTCATTCTCGTGGTGAGGCGTTCCACACCCCCGGGGCTGCGAGGTGACGTCCTGAAGGCGGTACACCAGGTGCTGTTCGGGGGCGGAGTCTAATGGCTCGATTCCGTAGCTGTCGTGAGTGAAATGAATCACTCCTCTGAATAAAACGAGGCCAGAGAAGAATGGTCAGCAGCTGTTTCCTCGTCAGAGTGAGACCTCACACAGAGATGCTTTGTTGTGTTTAGTTTGTTTTGTTTTTGCCCTGGTAATAAATAATTAAACACTTAAAGGGGTGTTTGTCTCACCTGAGGCCGTTACAGATGCTCAGAGCCACTGATGAGCCCTCCATGTCCTGAACGAAGCCCCGATAGTGACAGTGGTTCTGAAACACAGAGGTGATACCAGGTGACACCAGCAGGGGGAGCTGCTACCATGAAGCTCATGTTTCTGAGAGGAACTGATGACAGAGGTGAAAACATCAGCTGATGATGATTAAAGCTGCCATCAGCACTTCCTGTCCGAGTTCCGTGGGAGAAACCACTTCCTGTCCTCACAGAAACTGTAACTCAACATTTCTGCAGGTCTTTCACTTCCTGTTCTTCTAGTTTTTATGTCATTGCTCATCAAAAACTGCAAACTGTCCCATCATGCATCTGTGCTGTCCCAGCTGGAGGCGGAGCAAAGCAGTTCCTGTGACTCAGAGAACTCATGTTTCATCTTCTCTTTGTTCTATTTCGTGTAAGCTCCGCCCTCTAAGGCTATCGCAGATGGGTACCCCCGTGCGCGTACGCGCATTCTGAAGTATCAATAGTCTACGCCCACGTGACNCAACAGGTAAAAACAACAACACCAACAGGCAAACACTAACAGGTAAACAACAAAAACAACAACAGGTAAACAACAAAAACAACAACAGGTAAACAACAAAAACAACAACAGGTAAACAACAACTGAACAGAAAACTCTTTAAACTTTGTTCTTACAATCTAAAAGCTAAAACTGTTGGTTCTGATCCAGGTCCAGAAAGTTTAAAATGATTGTTTTTAGCCTCTTCAGCAGCTTGTGATGTTTTCCTGATAGTTTCTGTGACTCAGCTGCACGTCGTCACAGTTAAAAGGAAAGAGGAACCAGGACCAGAAGCCGGTCCTGACGGTCCTCGGCTCGTTATCGGGGCTCTTCCTGTTGTTCGGCCTGTGAGGCCTGCTGATAAAAACACTGCAGCTACGAGGCTCAGAGCTGCTCTCGTCTTTCTGCTTCACTTTCAAATGTTTCTGCTTCATTTGAGGTTTTTACACGTCTAAACGCTGACTCAGCACCACTGCTCCTTCATTCATATTCTGTCTGCTGCTTTTCAACTACTTCTGCATATTTTGTACTGTTTTTATCAAAATGTTCGGCTCATTCTGCAGACAGCTGCTGGGACTTTAGTTTTTGTAGCTTTTCGAATTTTCAAAATACTTATCTGCAGAAATACTTTCAGAAACCTCCAGCTGCTGGTTCTGACTTCTTCTTATACTTCTTTTAGCTTCTAGTTAGCCGTTTGCTTCTTCTAGCTTCTCCTTAGCTGCTTGTTTCTTTTAGCTTCTAGCTAGCCGGTTGCTTCTTTTAGCTTCTAGTTAGCCTTTTACTTCTTTTAGCTTCTAGTTAGCCGTTTGTTTCTTTTAGCTTCTAGTTAGCCTTTTACTTCTTTTAGCTTCTAGTTAGCTGATAGCTTCTTTTAGCTTCTAGTTAGCCATTTGCTTCTTTTAGTCTAGTTAGCCGTTTGCTTCTTTTAGCTTCTTGTTAGCTGCTTGTTTCTTTTAGCTTCTAGTTAGCCATTTGCTTCTTTTAGCTTCTAGTTAGCCGTTTGCTTCTTCTAGCTTCTAGTTAGCCATTTACTTCTATGAGCTTGTAGCTTGTGTATGCTACTTTTAGCTATTAGCAATTGTTTTTGTAAAGTTACAAAAGTGACCTTTTGTAACTTTTTTCCTATCATTTGGCTACTTTTAGCTGTAAGTCAGCTCTTTGTTTCTTTAGCTTTGAGCTAGCTTTTTGAGCTTTAGCTGGTATTTTCTTCTTTTTTTGTTTCAGCGAGTTGGATTTGGTTGCTGAAACCAGCAGCTGAAGTTGATGTTGTTGTGAGGTTGTTTCCCACTCTTTTTGTTTATTGTTGTTTATCTGTTTCGTGATGTGAAGCAGCTGAAATTTTGTTTTTATCTAGAATAAAACTAAACATTTTTCAACAAACTGATTCCACAGTTTAAAGTATCGCTGTGAGAAACGTTTAATCACAAACTGATATTCAGCTATTCAGATATTCTGACGACTGGATTATAATTTAACGTCTAACATTAGTTAGAGGTTAGAGCAGGGTGGGCAATCCTGGTCCTGGGGGGCCGCAGTCCTACATGTTTTACATGTTTCCTGCTCCAACACACCTGATCCAGTCACTGAACTACCTCTTCATGTTCTGCAGTACGGAGGACCGACACTGACATCATTAGAAATAAAAGCAGAAATAGATAAATGAACCTTTAAATACATAAATACATTTAAAATGCACCAAATAAATTAAAAAGGAGAACTTTACCTCATGTTTTATCATTTAATTGATCTTCATATTTATTTTTCCAGCTTAGTTC